ACCTCCACAGCATTTTGCTCTTCCGGTACTTCGCCTCCGGGTTCCTGTACAAGGCGTTCCTTTGCATGTACTTCGCCTTCGGCACCGCCTGATTCCGGTGCTTTGCCCTCTCTTGGCCTTGACGTGAGGCCCCTCCTTCTACCTTCCTCCCTCTGTCAATTAAAGCTGTGCGCGGCCGGCTTAGCTTCGACCGGACGAGGCTCGCTCTCGACCCGCGGATCAAAAAAGTGTTTTTGTTTGTGGTTTGTTTGGTATGTGTGGTGTGTGAGTGGTGTGTGTGGTGTGTGTGGTGTGTTTGTGTGGTGTGCGCTCGTGGTGTGTGTGGTGTGTGAGAAAGTGTGCGTGGGAATGTGTGCGCGAATGTGTTTGTGTTAGTGTGTGAGTATGTGTGTTCTTCAAGCACGCTATGTTTCGCAGTCTTATGTGGAGCAAAACTTTATGGTGCAATTTACGTTCTGCAACATGTCCTGTGCAATGTAGGCGGCGCGGTGTTTGCGCTTGCGCCCGATGTTGTGCAATCCACGTGGTGTTAAATATATATGGCTGTGTGACATACGTTGTCAGTTTGTGAGTAATACATGATCCCCCCCGGGGCTGATGAATACATCCCGCGGCGCGCGACGCATTTTATCAATCACGCGCCAGGGGGTCGTTGCGGGCGCCGCCGAAGGGATCGTGCAGGGGGTGTAGAGGTTGTTATAGGCATCGTATACATTCGAGGCGATTTGTTCCCTCTCAGGATGATTTTTCTTACGTGCCACAGTCGTCGTCGTTGTCGTTGTCGTTGTCGTTGTCGTTCTCGTCGACGATGTCATCCGTGGTCGATGTCATCTGTCGTCGTCGCCATCGTCGCGGGACATATTGTAGCTGAGGGGGGGAGGGGGAAGAAGGAGAAGGGGGAGACTGTTTCCGACTGCCTGTGTCGCTCACCCCTCCTTTCCCCGTTCTTGTTTGCAGTCATGTCGGCAGCGCCCGCCAGCTGAGGCGCCTCTTCCCCCTGCCTCCTCCTTGCTTGCTGTCTATAGCCATGTTGGCCGTGCTGCTGTCTCCTTCCGCTGAAGCGGCGCCGCTTGCGTCGCGCCTGTCGCCCTCTCGTTGGCAGCGCCAATCACCCGCGCCGGCGCCGTATGTTTCCATGTGGCGGGCGCCAGCCCCCGCGATCCCCCCGAGAAGAGGAACCGGTTTTTTCACCACGTACCCCCGGACTCCTATCAAGCACGAGCTGTGGGTTGTGCCACCGATGTGGTGCAGTCTACGTGCCGCAATAGATGTAAAGCAATCTCTGCTGCGGCGCAGTATCTGTTGTGGAATTCATGGGGTGGAATATTTGTGGCGCCGCCGGTGTAGTGCTGTCGATGTTGTACAACATGTACAGTGTGCGGTCTTCGTTGTGTATATTACGTTGTGCAATGTACGAGGAGCAGCTTCTGTATTGCAATTTATGTGGAACAACCCACGTGGTGCAATCCAGGTGGTGTAACTTATGCGGTGCAATATGAACGGTGCAATCTACGCGGAATAATTTATGCCAAGCGGCGACGGAGCGGCGACGGCGGCAACATTGGTGCCAGGTTGGCAGACAACCCCAGACGACGGGCGGCAGCGACGGGGTGGCGACGGCGGCAACATAGGCGCGAGACCGAGTGACAGGCCCAGACGACGAGCGGCGACGAGGCGGCGACGTGGCGGCGACGGCGGCAACATGGCCGCCAAATCGACAGACAGGCCCAGTTCTTTAGAACAGAAGCAAGAACCCCTAAGTAGAAACACGCATCAGGGAATCAGCTCAGTTGCGGGCGTTTCGTGGCCGTGCCGCCCGGGCAACGGTATACGGTGACATTTGTGTATGTTCGTGTCGGACGTGCGCCTCCAACATCAGCACGCAACGCTACTATGTCGTGTTGCGTCCCATGCCGAGTTGTCGGCGCGTCTTGAGTCTTTGGGACCCCGCAATGGGCCACTCGGAACGGCTGCGAGTTCGCCTACGAGCCTCGAGTCGTTGCCGTCGCCGTCGTCGCAGGCGGCGGGGCGGGGGTCAGTGGCGAAGGCTCTGCCTGTATGCCCTCCTCTTGCCTTCTCTTTCACGGAGGAAGGGGGCGAGGGTGAACAGGGCGGAGGGATGAGGGATGCGGGGGCGGGGGAGGTGAGCTGCAAGAAGAGGAGGAGGAGGAGGAGGAGGAGGAGGAGGAGGACGAGGGGAACGGGATTCGAGTGGGACTCGACCGGCCTGCTCCACTTTATTGCGATCACGACAGCAGGGCCGACGAGAGGAGACAGCACCACCCCAGGTTGAACCTGGTCGACAAGGGTTGTTTCAAAATCACAAAACCAAAACTCTGTATTCGTGGTCGGGCGCCTTCCTTCCCACCAACGGTCTAAACGCCCCGAGATCATCCGAGATTGGCCCCCGGGACACTTGGACGAAAGCCATATCCGCGTGTCGCTGGCGTACCTCGCGCATGGACGGCAGGATATTACTCTTGGAAACCCCACGACGTGGTGTCCCATGGCGCTGTTTTTTTCGATTGCAGCCCCGTCCCCGGCCAGAGCGGCCCTCAGGTTGCAGAGGTCCCTCAGGCTCCCCCACTCCTCCACTAGGCGGTGGAGGTGGGGGCGCGGGCGACTGGCGCGCAGCTGCTCTGCGTGGTTCCGAACCTCTAGAGGTGTCGATAAGCCCTTGGCCGAGAACTCCGACGTAAGCGGCAAACTCTTAACACATTCGAGACGAGTTGATGTCGCTGGGCGTACGCTTCACGGTGCCATTCAACATGCTCGTGTTGCTTGGCTCGTAGATTGGCGAACTGATCAGCATGCGTACTGTATGTACTACCTGCAAGCTGTGCGAGCCCCATTCTTATACGCTGGGCTCGAGTGGCATGTCCTGTGGCTGCCTGAGAACGAGTCGCACGCGGGCCTATGCCAGCGTTTTCGGCGATCGGGGCCCAGCAGCGGCTCCACGTGTCTGCCTGCAACGTGTAGGACCTCACAGCCCAGGCGTGGCGTCTGTAGAAGCAGTCGAGGATGCTTTGGCAGTCGGTCCAGATGGCCACGGGTGGGCAGGCCACCTCCCAGCACCCTCCCCACAGCATCCAGCTGAAGATGGTCTGCTCGCATTGTTTCCCTGGCTGGGGCCCGTAGCAGGCGAAGCGCAGCTGCATGTCGGGCGTCAGCTGCACGAAGGCCCAGCCGCCTCTGCGCAGCGCCGCGCAGCTGCCGTACAGCAGGCTGCCGTCGGTGTACACGTCTCCCGTGACGGAGTTCTCGAAGTCGCCGTGGACCGTGAGGGTGTCCCCTGGAGGGCAGGCCCCACAATCCCTGCCAGACCCCCTGCCCACTAGCTGCTCCGAACCCTGTCACGGGTTGGCGCCCCGTTGCGCGATGTGGAGCACACCCACCTCGCTGCGGCGAGCCTCGCGCGCAGGGCACCCGAAGGTCCGATGGCGACCAGTCCTTCGTGCTCCGTGGCATCCTTTGCACATGTCATCCTCCACCGAGCCCTGCGGGAACAGGCGCAGCTGCGGCCAGGTGCCGCCGCACCAGAGCGTGCGGGCCCTCGTCTGGTAGGCTCGCGTCCAGCGCCCACGGAGGGGGCGCCCGAGGATGGCGCGCAGTGGCTCCACGAGCAGGGGCTGCATGCCGAAGCGTGCGCCCCACGTGGCCAGCCGCGTGTCCTTGATGCCATGCTGGGTGCCTCACTGGATGTAGTACTTCGGGGTGCGTAGCGGAACGATCCCCAAGTCCAGCACTAGTTGGCCTATGGTGATGGAGTGCGTTGTTTGCGTCATTCATCCCAGCCTCCTTCCCGTCGCCACGAAGGTCCCTGCAGGGCCTCTCACTTGCTGAAACGGGGGCGTGGCACGCCACACTCGCAGCAACGTGCTCTTCCACGCCGCTTGCAGCTCGTGGATGAGCTCAGGCTGGCTGCACGTCTCTTGCCACGCCTGCGCCCAAGCTTGTTGACTCTGATGCCAGGGTCCACCGTCCGCCAGCAGGGCCAGGAACGTAGACCTGCCTCTGGTGCTGCCCTACAGCGTCCCGACCGATTGTCGCAGCTCGCCCAGCTTGGTGTCCGCCATGCCCATGACCTGCACGCCGCAGAGGAGCGACGGGATCATGGCCAGGCGCACGATCTTGTTGGCTGGCCCTCCCGCGCGTCTCACTCGGGCGATGCGACCCCTCCCTGCTGCGAACTTGGCCGCGCTCTTCCTGAAGGCGTTCACCCGTCGTCTGCGGCCCCCCGCGACCGTGGTGACGCCCAGGCGATTCTCTTCCTTCAATCTGCGTTTGGTGAGCTCGTCCTTGGATGCCACCATGTCCAAGATCACTTCAAACATGTAGATGAGCGTCTGGACGAGGATTGGGTGCCAGTGCTTGACGAACTCCCTGATCCCCTTTGTCGCCACCGCCAGGTCGTCGAAGAAGAGGCGCGCGTCGGCCCAGGGGAAGGATGTCACCACCACGTCCAGCTCTGAGAAGATATCCGTTTTGATGCAGAAGGGCGCGAAGCGGTTGCCCGCTACGATGCTTCTGCCCCATCGCTTGCCCACGGTGTAGCTCCCGGCACGCACGATGCGCTTCACCATGTCGTAGATCCTCAACATAATTTTCGGGATGACCTGGTTGAAGCCCCAGAGCAGCCCAGACTGCCACACCCTGGCGTGCGTCACGTGCTCGAAGCATCTGACCAGGACGAAATGCGTCACTGCATACTCGAGATCCTATGCTTGCGTCCTCGAAGTACAGCGCCTTCGTCGACGACGACGACGACGACGACGACGACGACGACGACGACGACGACGACGACGGTTGCGGCGGCGGTAGCGGCGTTGTGGAAGAATTGAAGTGCCAGGATCTCAGGGCATCCGCGGGCGTCCTCTGCTCGAGCAGCCGCAGCCTCCGCGCGCCCCGCGTTCCCGTTTGGGCGCGGGGGGGGCCACGGCCCGCGATGCTGGCGGGCTGACCGTGCAAGAGGGGCCCTCCGCCCACGGAGTGCCAGGGCCATGGCCGACCTCTTCGCGCCCGCGCGCGGGCTGGTGGCTGGCCAGGCCACGCTGGACGACGTGGCGCAGGCCGCAGGGCGCCCGCAACGCACACGCCTCAGCTGCCCTGGCACGCCCGTCTCGAAGCGCAGACCCCTTCGGGCAATGAAAAGAAATCATGGCGGGAAGTTGTTTGCTATTTTCGGCCCCTGGGGGCCCTTACCAGCCCCCGAGGCCGTCAAAAAAAGCACTCTGGATGAAAAGCCGGTCCAGGGGTCGAGAACTCCAGGGGTCGACGTAATGACAAAATCATGACGTCGCGGGTCTGGGAGCGCAGCACGTGCCGTGCTCGAGGCGTCCGTGTTCACACGTTGCGTACTGGCTCGACGTGTGGGTCCACGTTCTGGCGCGAGCCTATTCCGTGTTGGGGGTTAGTCCATAACCACCGCCTGTGGGATAACCTCCAGAGGCGCTGAATATGGACAGGTTGGGCCCCCGGGGGGGCAACATGTATCCATATCCACTGCCCGCTGGGGCACCAGGACGTCGGCTCCCAGGCGGTGGATATGGATGAATCCCGCCTCGCACACATCGCGCCAGACCTGCGTTTTCGGTCTACGTGTTGGGCTCCGTGTCAGCACGCCACGTGTTGCGCGTCGCGTGCTGGGGCAGCTAAGACACCCACACACCGATCCTGGCCGTCGAGAAACGAGAAAGCAGCATGGATACACAGCGCCCCGCCGTTGCGGATCAGAGAGAGGGGGGGGGCGTTCGCGAGGTGGGTCGCGGGTGGGTCGCGTGAAGGTCGCGGGGTGGGTTGCCGAGTGGGTTGCCGAGTGGGTCGCGGGTGAGGCGCAGGCGGGTCGAGGGTGAGGAGAGCAGAATCCGACGGACAGAACACCACTTCTGCCAGGCACTCAGGGACAATAATTGACCGTTCGGACTCCTCGACTTCCGATGTGATGCTTGCACCACGGCGACCCCTGGGGGCCCGGCCCGCGCAGCAACGGCACAAGCACAGGCTTCCGGAGCTTCGCGCGGATTTCTCGGATCTGCGTTGGGCCCCCCCCCTCCCATGGCGCGCAGAGCGCGCCATGGGCGTCGCCGGAGGCGCAACTCAAAGGGCAAGTGGAGCAACTCAAAAGGCAAGTAGCTGCCAGGCACAGTCAACGAAGAAGAAGCAGCGGCAAAAGCAATGCATTAACTTCTGGAGGTGCACGCGCAGTTCCTCCCCACCCTGGCGGCGCCTCCGGCGCCGCCCATGGCGCGCTCTGCGGGCCAGGGAGGCGGGGCCAGCGCCTATCCAAGAAGTCCACGCGGAGCTCCTGTAAGTTTGTGTGTGTGCCGCCTTCTGTCCCTCTGCTCCTGGGCCCTGGATCGGTGTAGGTGTGAAGTTGGCGCCAGGCCCTGGCGCAGGGCGCGGACCCCAACAAGTGGGAGGGGCCCCTGTCGCCGATCAGGTTCGCCGTGCAGGCCCACCACGTGGAGCTCCTGGGCCTGCTGCTGCAGAGCGGCGCGGATGCCAACCAGAAGGACTCGCGCGGGGTCGCTGTCCTTCACCAGGCAGTGTTCGATGGCAAGGGGGACTGCATCACGAAGCTGCTAGACGCAGGCGCCGACATCGACGTCCGTGACCGTCACGAGCAGACGCCACTGTTCTTCGCGCCCACGCGGCAGATTTGCGAGCTCCTCATTACCAGGCGCGCGGACGTGAATGTCGTGAACTCCAAGAAGCAGTCGCCCTTGCACCTGGCCGCCTACGCTGGCCTCGACGACGCGGTGAGCTGCCTCATCGACGCGAAGAAGAACCTGCTGCAGGCCCAGGACCAGCACGGCCACACGCCGCTGTACTACGCGGCGCACGCCAAGCTCAGAACGACGGTGAACGTCCTGAAGAAACGGGGCGCGGAGAGCGTCCGGTCCCGGGAGCGCCGCGGCAAGAAGTCCCCGGGCCCCCACGGCAAGAGCCCCGAGCCGGGCGCCCGTCGTGCCCCGCAGCCGCCCAGGCCGCAGCTCGTCCGGGAGGCAGAGGCGGCACCGCCGGGCAGCGAGGCCAGGGCCACGGCGGCAGACTCCACGGCATTGCAGGCCGTGCGGGTGGAGGACGGGGAGGTGGAGGCCGAGCGGATCGTCGAGGTCGCCTTCGATGCGAGCGGGGAGGCTGGGCTGGAGGAGGATCAGCAGCAGCGCTCGGCCAGGCTGCAGTGCCAGGGCGCGCTGGAGGCCGGGCTCGCGAGGGAGGCGGATCAGTTTCACGCGGCGAAGCTGGAGTGCAGCGCTGCTTTGGTGGCCAGTTCCGGTGCAGATGCATCGGCACCGCTCCAGCGCGATGCTGGAGAGCAGGCCGCCGCGCCAAGCACCTCGGAACTGCACGCGGCCAGGCAGCAGTGCCAGGGCGCGCTGGAGGCTGCGCTCGTGGTAGAGGCGGATGAGGTCTGCGCGGCCAAGCAGGAGTGCAGCGCCGCAGCTGCGACAGGCTTCGCGCAGCAGCAGCAGCAGGTCCGCCAGCCGGTCCTTCTGCAGCCGGAGGAGGCGAACTTGGAGGCAAGACTGAAGGAGCATCAGCAGCAACACGCAGCCAGGCAGCAGTGCCAGGATGCGCTCGAGGCCGGGCTCGCGAACGATGCGGATCAGGTTCGCACCGCCAAGCTGGAGTGCAGTGCTGCTCTGGCGGCCAGCCCTGCTCCAGGTGCATCGGCGCCGCCCCAGGCTGGGCGCGATGCTGGAGGGCAGGCCGCCGCGCCCAGCACCATGGAGCGGGAGCAGGAGGAAGGGCTGCGCGCCGCCAAGCGGCAGTGCCAGGACGCGCTAGAGGCCGGGCTCGCGAAGGAGACGGATCTGGTTCACACCGCCAGACTTGAGTGCAGCGCTGCACTGGAAGCACGCCCTGCCGCCGCGCCCAACACCTCGGAGTGGGAGCAGGAGGAGGAACTGCGCGCGGCCGGGCGGCAGTGCCAGGACGCGCTGGAGGCCGGGCTCGCGAGGGAGACGGAGCAGTTCCTCACGGCCAAGGTGGAGTGCAGTGCTGCTCTGGCGGCCAGCCCTGCTCCAGCTGCATCGGCGCTGGCACAGGCTGGGCGCGATGCTGGAGAGCCCACTGCAGAGCCAGACCAGGAGGAAGGGCTGCGCGCCGCCACGGGGCAGTGCCAGGACGCGCTGCAAGCCGGGCTCGCGAGGGAGACGGAGCAGCTCCACACGGCTAGGCTTGAGTGCAGCGCTGCACTGGCGGCCAGCCCTGCTCCAGCTGCATCGGCGCCGGCCCAGGCTGGGCGCGATGCTGGAGAGCCCACTGCGCCGAGCACCACAGAGCCAGACCAGGAGGAAGGGTTGCGCGCCGCCACGGAGCAGTGCCAGGATGCGCTGGAGGCCGGGCTCGCGAAGGAGACGGATCAGTTTCACACGGCCAAGCTGGAGTGCAGTGCTGCTCTTGTGGCCAGTTCCGCTCCAGCTGCATCGGCGCCGGCCCAGGCTGGGCTCGACGATATAGAGCAGACCTCCGCGCCAAGCAGCTCGGAGCGGGAACAGGACACGGAACTGTGCGCGGCCAGGCAGCAGTGCCAGGACGCGTTGGAATCCCAGCTCGCGAAGGAAACGGATCAGTTTCACGCGGCGAAGTTGGAGTGCAGCGCTGCATTGGCGGCCAGTTCCGCTCCAGGTGGATCGGCGCCGCTCCAGCGCGACGCTGGAGAGCAGACCAGCGTGCCAAGCACTGTGGAGCGGGAACAGGGGGAGGAACTGCTCGCGGCCAGGCAACAGTGCCAGGCCGCGCTGGAGGCTGCGCTCGAACGGGAGGCGGATGAGGTCTGTGCGGCCAGGCAGAATTGCAGCGCGGCAGCGGCATCAGGATTTGCTCAGGAGGAGTTGCACGAGGCCAGGAAGCAATGCCAGGGCGCACTGGAGGCTGGGCTCGCGAGGGAGACGGATCAATATCTCACGGCCAAGTTTGAATGCAGTGCTGCAGTGGCGGTCAGCCCTGCTCCAGGTGGATCGGCGCTGGCCAAGGCCGAGCGCGATATTGGAGAGGAAACATCCGCGCCCAGCACCTTGGAGCGGGAACAGGGGGAGGAGCTGCACGCAGCCAGGCAGCAGTGCCAGGGCGCGCTGGAAGCTGCGCTCGAACGGGAGGCAGACGAGGTCCGTGCGGCCAGGCAGAATTGCAGTGCCGCAGCGGCATCTGGCATCGCCCAGAGTGAGTTGCAAGCGGGCAGGCAGCAGTGCCAGGGAGCGCTGGAGTCTGCGCTCGTGAGAGAGGCAGACCTGGTCAGCGCGGCCAGGCAGGAGTGTAGCGCCGCAGCGGCGGCGGGCTTCGCCAATGGGCAGGAGCACGCGGCCAGGCAGCAGTGCCAGGGCGCGCTGGAGGCTGCGCTCGAACGGGAGGCGGATGAGGTCCGTGCGGCCAGGCAGACTTGCAGTGCCGCAGCGGCATCTGGCATCGCTCAAGAGGCAGCCCAGCCAGTCGTGGCGCAGGTCCAGCCAGGCTTCGTGGGCTCAGCAGTGCCGCCTGGCCCTGAAGACCAGCAACAAGAGCAGGAGCAGCAGGTCCTCCAGCCAGTGCTGCCGCAGTGCGAGGAGGCCTCCCCTCCCGCGCATCAGCACCCGGAGCAGCAGCAGCAGCAAGCCAGCCAGCCAGTCTTGCCGCAGGTCACCCTGACAGGCGCAGAGGAGGAGGGCATTCTTCCAGTGCCGGGCACGGACAGCCCAGAGGACTTGCGCGAGCAGCAGCAGCGGATCCACTCTGCGCAGGCGCGTCTCCAGGCCGGCGGCTCCCTCGATGGCGTGTGGAACTTGGACGACCAGACGGTGCGCATCTCCGGCAACCAGGTCCTGTGGAGTGATGGCGTGGTTTGGCTCCTCGAGAAAGACGATCAGGATCGGCTGATGGTTGCGGTCGGTAACAGCACGTACTACGCCAAGCTTGCCGGGTCCACCATCGAGTGGAGCGACGGCGACATTTGGATCCGGGAGGAGCCGCAGCCGGTTGACGCCCCTGGGGAGGCCGCCCAGGCCCCGCCGGAGGCCAGCCAGGTGCAGGAGGTGCAGGTGCTGGTCGCCGCGCCGCCCGAGGCTGCCGCGCCGCCGCCCCAGGCTGCCGAGCCGCCGCCGCAGGCGGCCGCGCCGCAGCCAGGGGACGATGCGCAGGCGACCCAGGCGCTGGCGCAGGACAAACATCGACTACACGCGACGCAAAAAAAACAAGGTCGTCTGCGCCGACATGCGCGCACAAGCTGCAAAGTAGCGTGCCGCGCTGGCGGCCCGCGCAAGCCACCGCGTAAGGTCGCTTCGTCATCTCGAGCAAGACCGGTTTTTCATCGTCGCTCAAGTAAGCGTGACCCTTCGCCAGAGTGACCTTTGGTGCGGGCCCACTGGGGTCCCCCGATCGCCGAACGCGAGGCGGCAGCGGCGCCCTGCGCGCTCGCGTGTTGGCCCCCCAGCGGCCCCCAAAGGGTCGCGCACCAGAGGTCACTCTTGCCCAGGGTCACTCTTGCGTGCAGCCGAACGCAGGGGAGCGCGCGGGAGCAGGCGGGACCTGGCGACGCCCCCGCGGCGCCCGCGCCCCAAGCGGCGCCCGCGTCCGTGCACGGCTTCCACAGGAGGGACCAGGTGGAGGTGTGGAGCAACTCAAAGGGCAAGTGGCTGCCGGGCACGGTCACCGAAGAAGAAACAGCGGCATAAGCATTCACTTCTGGAGGTCCGCGCGGAATTCCTGGATCGGCGCTGACCCACCTGGCGCCGCCTCTGGCGCCGCCCCTGGCGCGCGCGCCAGGGAGGGATGGGCCAGCGCCAATGCAAGAAATCCACGCGGGTCTCCGAGAGTTCATGATTATGCAGTGTTTCTTCTAGGTCAAGAGGGTGTACCCCGAGGACTCAGTAAGCCTTGGAAGCGGCAGGGCAGTTTTTGGTTACCGGTCCCGCTTTTTCTGTTTTCAGCCAACGTGTGGTGTTGGGTTCTCGTGTTCAATCCGCAGCGCCCTGCGTTCCTCCTTCCTCCTCCCCCTCCTCCCTCTTCCTGCTCCTGCTGCTCCCATACCCCATACTTTCCTCTGCCCTCCGCATGTCCATGGTGACACACCCTTCACCCCAGTCCAACGAAGGCCCCAGAGGCTGCGTTCGCATGGCGGCCCCTCACCCGATTCGGCACACCCCTTCACACGCCTCGTGGCCCCACAGGCTGCACTGCCGAAGGCCACCCAGTGGCTGTGTTCGCATGGCGGCCACGCGCCCGATCCGGCGCAGCCCTCACACGCTTCGTGGCCCCATAAGAGGGCTCCACCGAGGGCCCCGTTCGCATGGTGGCCCCGCGCCAGACTCGGAACACAACTCACACGCTTCGTGGCCCCATGGGGGGCTCCACCGAGGGCCCGAGTGGTTGCGTTCGCATGGTGGCCCATCGCCAGATTCGGCGAACTCCTCACACGTTTCGTTGCCCCATAGGAAGCACCGCCGACGGCCCCACTGGCTGCGTTCGCGTGGCGGCCCTGCATCCGATCGGGCACATCCCCAAATTTCGTGGTCCTATACGGGGCACCAGCGAAGGCCCCAGTGGCTGCGTTCGCGGCCACATGGAGTGCTCCAACGCCGGCTCCAGCGGCGGCCCCGCATCCGATTCGGCACACCCCTCGCACGCCTCGTGGCCCCATAGGGAGCTACACCGAGGGCCCCTGTGGCTGCGTTCGCATGGCGGCCCGCGCTAGATTCGGCACACCCTTCACACGTTTCGCGGCCACATGGGGAGCTCCAACGAAGGCCCCAGTGGCGGCCCCGCATCCGATTCGGCACACCCCTCGCACGTTTCGTGACCCCATGGGGAGCTCCACCGAGGGCCCCAGTGGTTGCGTTCGCATGGTGGCCCGGCGCCAGATTCAGCGCTCCCGTCACGTTTCGCGGCCGCATGGGGAGCTCCGACGAAGGCCCCAGCGGCGGCCCCGCATCCGATTCGGCACACCCCTCGCACGTTTCGTGGCCCCATGGGGAGCTCCACCGAGAGCCCCAGTGGCTGCTTTTTCATGGTGGCCCGGAGCCAGATTCAGCGCTCCCGTCACGTTTCGCGGCCGCATGGGGAGCTCCGACGAAGGCCCCAGCGGCGGCCCCGCATCCGATTCGGCACACCCCTCGCACGCCTCGTGGCCCCATAGGGAGCTACACCGAGGGCCCCGGTGGCTGCGTTCGCATGGTGGCCCATCGCCAGATTCGGCACACCCTCACACGTTTCGTTGCCCCATGGGGAGCTCCACCGAGGGCCCCAGTGGTTGCGTTCGCATGGTGGCCCATCGCCAGGTTCGGCACAACCCTCTCACGTTTCGTGGTCACATCGGGAGCTCCAACAACGGCCCCAGCGGCGGCCCCGCATCCGATTCGGCACACCCCTCGCACGCTTCGTGGCCCCATAGGGAGCTACACCGAGGGCCCCAGTGGATGCTTTCGCATGGTGGCCCCGCGCCAGATTCAGCGCATTCCTCACGTTTCGCGGCCACATGGGGAGCTCCAACGAAGGCCCCAGCGGCGGCCCCACGCCGATTCGGC